GACAGTCCTTTGTATGACTTGAGCAAACAAGACATGGACAATGCTGACTTTGAAATTGTAGTAATTTTAGAGGGCATGGTGGAAGCTACTGCCATGACGACCCAGTGCCGTAGCTCATATCTGGCAAACGAAATCCTCTGGGGCCACCGCTATGAGCCCGTACTCTTTGAAGAGAAAAACTACTACAAAGTGGATTACTCCAGGTTCCACAAAACATACGAAGTGCCCAACACACCCATCTGCAGTGCCAGAGACTTAGCAGAAAAGAAATACATTCTCTCGAACGCAAACTCCTTTTGCTACGAGAACGAAGTGGCCCTCACCAGCAAAGAGGAGGAGGAGATTGACACTGGGGTGCCTGAGAGCATGAGCACAGACACCCACCCCGACATGGACCACCACAACCAAGCGGGGGTGCCTCTAGAGCCACGGCCGCTACGGCGGGAGTCGGAAATATGACTGACAAACTCTTCCTCTCTCTTTTGGTTGAAAGGAAAAATAAAAAAAATCTATCGGTCAAAGGCACGTTGACCTGAGAAGTTGGCCCAGAACAGTCTTCAGACAACGGTACTGTTGAAGAGTGGTGTGAAGGCAAGCAGACCTGAGAAACCCCGGCTGGTTTTAGGGCTGTCCTCGTAGGAGGGACAACAGAAAATGAACTCTAAACACAAAGCACTAAACATGTCTAAGTATGAACAGAAGGCACATATGTTGTAGAATAAATTATGTATATATTTTTTTACAAAACTTGAACTTGCAGGCAAGCTTTGGTTGGGTTATTATTATTTTTTTTCAACTTTTTCCAGAATGCTTCTCTCTAGGGAACAAGAATGTTTTTAATGGCATAACAAAGGCAAGAATCTGCCTTATTATTATTATTATAATTATTTTTTAAAAAAGCTGCTGCTAACTACATGAACACAAATGGTTATTTTTGTTGCAGTGTAGTTTTTATTTTCTCTTGTGTAATTTAAAAAGAAAAAAAAAAGTCAGTGTTGAACTTTTGGGGTTGAAAAGCTCGTGATCACTACAGAGAGGCCAACGTTGCCAGGAAGTCTAAACTCCTTTTGAGGCCAGTAGTTTGATAGCTAGAATCAATTTCTCTCTTTCCAATTACATAAGGGGCATTATGTAATATCAGGCCAATCAGTAGCCTCCAGCAAAATTAAGATTTTTGGGGGGAGAATTTAATTCTCTGACTAAAGGAAAAATGAAATATATATATACATAGACAAAAGTACTAAGTTAAAACTACCTAAGTGGATACCAAAGAAAATGCACAGTTTTGCACAGTGGAGTTTATTTAAGAAAAAAAAAAAAAAAGAAAAAAAAAAAGAAACAGGCTGCTTTAAACAAACAAAAAATTCAAACCTCAGACACTTTTTTTTTTCTTTTGATTTTTTTTTGTTTTTCTTTTTACGACCTTTATTTTGCACCTTATTCTAAAAGCTTAAGACTCGGATCTAAAGTGAGGTAGGGATCTACCCTGCCCCTCTTCCCTTCTATGGGGGAATAAATTCCCTTCCTTGCTGGTAAGGAGAAGCACAGCTGGGGGAAGGCAAAGGGGCAAACATATGTCCTCCCTGGTCGCTCGCCGAGCCGGGCTGCAGCAGAAGGTCGAGTGTTAGTGCACACATTCCCAAACTGGCGCTAGACCTCAGCGCCCTGAAAACTGAGCCATCCGCCGTGCTGCAGACTTGGGACCCCCACGTTTCCAGGCAAAATCTGCCAGGGACAGGGAAGCTGGTGAGCTGTGCCGGGGCAAAGCGCTTCTGGCGCGGGTGTTTGGGCACAGATGAGCCGAGCCATGTATAAATCCCCAGGAAGAGGTTTGGGAGAGGGTAATGGAGAGGAAAAAAGGCTTTTGTAACACAGCTCTTGGGAACAGCACAGGAATGGTGGCATTTTGTGAAAATGCTTCTCTTCAGCAGGGCAAGGGTGTCAGAAAAAGTGTATTTTCCAGCTCATTTGGAGAGGGTTTATTTGGGAGGATGAGGCTGCAAGGCAAGCTCCATCTCCTGCCTCCTTTTCCCCGCAAACATCAACATCAGTGATCAGTGGATGAGAGACATGGCCGAGCTCTGAGCAGGTTTTGTGACCTCCTGCGATGCTCTGGCCTTGGCTCCTTCGCCCAGAAGGCTTTAAATTCTCTGTGCCTCTAAGATCAAGGATGCAACCAAACTGCACGTCACGCCTGCTCACTGGTGGCTCCCCCGAGGAGCAGGTGGAGAGGGGAGGCGGTGGGGACAGCAACCCTAGTCCACTCTTACAGTATTGGATCACTGTATGCCATTAAAAAACAGCTTGTTCTAGGTCTAATGTCTTCTGCAAACAGATATCTGTGAAGGCCGCTGGCCCCTTCCAGCCCTGCCTGAAAGAAATGCCTGCAATGAAATGGTGTCTGATAAGATGGTATCTGCAGTGGGTGGGTTCGAAACTGTGGAAATTTGACATTGTAAATGTAGATTTGGCTACTAGAGAGGGCAGACGATTAAGCGCAAGTACAAGGCTATTACTGGGGTGGGGGGAAGTAAATGAGAGGAAAGCTGAACACGCAAAGCGACTCGATTGCAGTTTCTGGGTCAACAGTAGTGAAGACAACTGAGTGCTGCTAGTGCTGCTATTGTGATATACTTGTACAAGGAAAATACCTAAACCAAAGAGTATTCAGTGAAACGGAAAGTGCATGAAAATGCAAAGGGGAAGGGATGGAAATGGGACGCCGGCTGGGAGAAAGGGGACCCCTTCTCCAGGTTGGTGTGCCCCAGGTGCACAGAGCTCCCACTGGGTGATGATACTTGAGATGTTTGAGGGAGGGATAAGAGATGGGGGAAAGGGGAATGCAGGACTTCAGCTTTTTTCTTTAAAGTAAAAGGAATTCAGAGAAAATTAAAAAAAAAAGAAAAAAAGAAAGATCCCCTCCCCTTAATATTTCTGGTGCAGAGGTTTGGGGTTTTGTTTTTTTTTTGTTTTTGTTTTGTTTTTCAAGTCAGTTTTTCAGAAATATTTTTAAAATGTACATTTTATAAAGTTTATCAAGTATTTTCATATTTAAAGCCAAATGTAAATAGAAGTCTGTAAAGGAGGACAAGGAGAAGAAGAAACAGAAAAGGCCACAAAAAGTATAAATTCCGCTCGGCAGTCTCGGCTAGCTAGTACCTAGATGCTACCGGTTAGCATGATTTTTAGCAAATACTTGCAAGCCTTATAGGATTCCTAATGCTATGAACTTCTTTTATTTATTTTTTACGCATGGACTTTTAATTTGAAAACATGTTCTAGTTACTGGCATTTTTAAAACTTACCAGCTTTCCGAGTGCTAGTCTTGTCGAGGGTGCGCATCGAGGTAATCCATTACACTCTCTGCCGCATTCTTTTTTTTCTTTTTCTTTTTCTTTTTTTTTTTTTTAATAACCCTTTGTCTTTGCCGATGTACTCTGACATTGCAGAATTGCACTCAGCCTCTGGCTCTGGGAAGCTGCTAGAAAGAGACCTGCAATGTGCACGCCATGGTACCCTTCCCCTTGTCCATCATTTCTGTATTTCCGAACATGCCTTGGTAGGCCCAGTACAGGACAGGCAGTTGTAGCACACTTGTCCAGCAGCAAATTGGGTTGGTCATTTTTTTCAAATGTTATTTTTAAGGAGTACAGAGTGACTGACAGCGTTTGGTCTGTTCCTGATGATCTGGGGCCACGCTGATGCTTAATTAGGAACCCTTTAAACTGACTGAGCTCTACCCACCGGCTCCTGCAGGCTTTGGGTGAGCCTCTTTATCAAGGATAAAGTCGGCTCACCTGGCTCGCACAGAAGGTTTATACTGTATTTTGCCTAGGGTCTGGGAGGAATATGTTATTTCTGCCCTTCCCTGAAAATACTTGAATGAGACACTTGTTGTCTGAAACATACTGCATACAGTGAAGAAAAACATTTCCGAGGCAGGTTGGGATCTCTTCTTTCCTCTGTCTCTTCTGTGCGAGCTGTCTGTTCTTAGGTAGCAAGGGTAGAACTCCTTAATTATTGGCTGTGTTTAATGATACCCTCTCCCAGACACAACAAACTTCTGTGTTGTTAGTTTAGCACTTGCTCTTCTTGGGAAAGACAAAGGGTCCAGATGTTTGATTTGTTCTCCTTAGGTCTTCTTTTTTTTTCATAATGGATTACAAGGTAAAACTGAGAAGTACTGTAATGTCTTTAAATTATGGCTGCTCATGACCATTGTAAAGTAGAAGGGTGCTGCGTAGTTGCCATCCCACAGCCAACGAGAAACTGATTTTGTAATGACTTTTGGCCTGCAGCTATTGTAAGGTGAACAATCTAGGCATCTGACAGTTGTCCATTACTATTTTCCTGTTTGCAGCCTTTTTGTATCAAAGTCTTCCTAATGTACTGCACAAATTGTGGATTGTACAGATTTTTATATATTATGTCTTATTTTATTATTTCTAAATAAATAAAAAAAATTGAGAATGAACTGGTGTATGCAGCATGTATGTGAATGAAGTGGGGAGAGGGGTCAGGACGTTATTACAGAGCTGTGTTTATGCCTGTCTCTGAGCACAGCCATTGTCTGAAGCACTTTAGGAAGAGACAGGTCGTTCCCTCCCTGGACAAAAGGCAGGAGGAAAGGTGATACTATCATTATTTGCCAGATGGGAACACAAACACGATTCTCATTGGACTCTGCGGTCGGTGTAAGGCAGCTTGCACCAAAGGAAAATCTATCCCAGAGAGACTGATTGACTTTCTTAAGGTCATACCTGAAGCTGCAGAGCTCCAGATCATTAGCTACAAGTTGTCTGAAATAGAAAGCAAGCTCAAAGTCTATGTAAAACACAAGGCAGGGAGAGAGGGGAAATGAAAATGCAGAGCATAAGCAAGCGCACTTAAAGATTTGGGAAGGGATTAAAAAATCAGGCAGGAAACATCCTCAAATCCTCACGAATCCCCATGTTTCATATCTCCCTGGATCATCCCCATTTGGAAATGATGCTCTTCATCTGACCTGAAGTCCAAACACATTTACTGTAATCTTAACACATGCCTTCTTTATCTGGAGCCCTAAGCCTTTGGGGCTGGATTCTTGTGTAATGGGACGGGGAAGCACTGCTGGAAAGGGGCTGGGAGTATCCGAACGGGGACTCGGTGCCCATATTTGTCAGGCTGGGCAGCTCCTTTCCCGCTGCTGTGTGTGGCCTCCGGGGCAGACATCGAAGCTGCGCAACTGTGACTCAGCTAGAAAACGCTGATCTAACTGGAATAAAATGCACTACAAAGGCTGAGGACGGCCGTGCAACATCGCAGCGCGGTTTTGACCCCTCGGCTGAACTGTCCGACTTTTCATCAGTCTGCAAAGCCCTTCGAATACAGCTCTGAAATGAAGGCTGATGGAGCCCTGACCTTGTCCAGAAGGACTCCATTTAGAAATTCAAATTCCCATTTCAAAAACTAATGGTCTCTTGAAAAGCTTATAATGATAATTGCAGGGCTGGATGTAGGGACAGCGCCTGGCCGTCACAGCCTGGATCTGCTGGCTGTCCCTGCAGAAATCCACCCCTGCAGGAGCCACTGGCTGCTCTGAGCCCTCGCTGCTCGGGGCACTGCTGGGTCTGCCTCTCCCGCTGCCTACACTGTTAGCACCCTCTCCTATTGCTGGCTGCTGGGGTGGTCAGGTGGAGTCAGCATAAATATAGCAGCAAAACACAGACTGCGTGTTTTGGTAGCTAGCAGGGTAAGAGCTGAACTCTCTCCCCTCCCATACCAGCTAGATGCAGCATAGAAAGTTGTGTTATAGGCAGATGCATGAACCAACTGCTCCTTCTTTTCCCAACCTTCTCGTCAAACAAGTAGTGCTTGCTGAATCCTTCGACGTGCCAAGCTCATGCTGAAGGCTGCAGGTTTCCTTCTCTATAACAGGTGGGCAAAAATGCTTAAAGAAATGTCCATTCTTTCAAAAATGTTTAAGGAAAACTCATGATTTCAGGAGAGACTGTTGCATGGGTTTGAACTCCAGGGAGGTGGAGGTTGCTGTTCCAGGAAGGTTTTGGACAAGACGTGCTCACTGGGATTCAACACACACCCAGTAAGGATTAGCTCCTTTGTCCTGGTGTAATGCATGCACCAGCTCAGGGAAGGAGCTGTCGGTGCTGCAGGGTCTCAGTGCCCTTACAGGGTCCCCAAGGCTTCTGCGCTGCTCAGGGCAGCAGCACGAGGAGTCACGCTCAGCATGCAAAGTGTAAGTCCCAGCTCTTTGCATGAAGTGCAGTCACATGAAGAGTTTGCATTTCTTTAGCTACACCAGGGCGATCCTTCCTCACCATCTTGCAGTGCTGACCCACGATCTGTGATTGTAAGTCTGTGTAAGATAGAAAAAGGGAGAACATTTTACAAATCAGCATTTTTTTCAGACTGATTTTTGCTTCTCTCTCCATCTGCTCTTTTGTGAGCAAAATTGGGCTGTTTCCCCTGTCCTCGGGCAGTGCAGCTCCCACTGGCTTCCAGATAGGGAGGTTCTGCACCTGCAAACTTCAGTCTAAATTTAACCAAGTGGTGATATTTAGACCTGTTTGCAGCTCAGATGTCATGGTGGAAGTCAGAAAAAGACTGTTAATGCTGCAAACACAGAAGCCACACATCCTTGCGGGGAAGCCAAAAGCTAGCAGGAGCCCTCCAGCACTCTGTAATCCTCCAAACATCCGCAGCTGCACAGCCAGGCTCCGATCACCCCTCAGTGTCACGGCAGTGGCATTCTGCTGAAATTAGAGGATGAGCAAAACCAACCGAATGGTTGTGGGGTCACTTGGCGGAGTTTGAGATTTAAATACACAGGCTGAAGGTGAGGGAGCAGGAGCAGGTTTTGGTGAACTCCCTCGTGGTGCTTTTATATTCAGCTGAGCACCCACACGGGAATGATGGCCACCGAGAGGTGGGAAGCGATGGCCGGATGCCACCACTGACAGCAGTTCTGTAATTTTTCTATTAGGGGAAAGGGAAGGAATGCCATACCGGGTGCACACGCTGCCAGGGGAACACCAGTGGCATTGCACGACCTATTCATATCGCCTCCAGGCACATTAACACGGGCTGCCACGCCGCACAAAGACCTGCAACATTTTGCTCCGTGCTCTTGGCAGCTCTCCAGATGGAGCTGAAATCCATGGCTAAATCCTTCCATTTATCCTGTGCGTTGGGTAGAGCTCGTTTTGTAAAGAGTTTACCTCATTTTGTAACCTTCACGGCCACCTGAAGCCGGGAACATCGTTCCCTCTATTTCACCTTACCCTAACACACCGCCTTCGCTTTGTCCTCTCCTGGGAATGCTGCAATGTTTCCGTGGGTTTGCCAGTGTCTGGGGACAGGCCAGACAAGTGCAAGCCGGGAAAATTATGGAAAGTTCAAGAACATAAAAATGAAAGATGGGTCTTGCAAATATTGTTCTTCTTCTCCTTCTCCTTCCAAAGTCTCCTCTAAAGTCATCTTTAATCCAGTACCACTACTTACAGCATTACCAAGGGTGCAAATACAGGTTGTTATATGTAAGTCAGTGCTTTTTATACATGTAGGTTACGGTGGGCAAGACAAGAAGGGGCCAGAAACACCTCTTTCAGCAATAGATGCATTTTATATTATTCTTTTTAAAAATTACTGCTCTTGCCTCTTCCTTCCTTTCTGACTTGGATTTTAACCATACATTATGGAAACAGATATATATATATATTTTTAATAGCATCCACATTGAGACTCCTACAAATGACATACATTAAAATGTGTAATAGCTGCTAAATCACCCAGGCTGGGAAGCTGAGCAAAAGGGAGTCACTGACTATGGAATAAGTCTCCTGTCCTGGCTGGATCCCCACCTATTTGCAGCTCCTAGATGATGCAGAATTCAGGGTAAATTGGGAACCCAGCCAAAAGCAGGTATGAGGTCTCATTCACCTGGGCTTGGCCTTGCTGTGGTTGATCCTCACCACCAGGCAGTTTGGGTGAGGAGCTCCAGGAAAGCCCTGCTCCCTCCTGACACGTAAAGCACGTTGTCTCCTCGAGGAGGCAAGGGAAAAAGTATTGCTGTGAATAACTTGTATTTGATATGCAAATTAACTCACTAATTATATTGTATTGTGTGGCTAAGCCCATATTTAAACCTGGGATGGGAGCAGGGAAATGACTGCTGCTGGCTCCAGCCTGCAAACCCTGACTGTAGTGGAAAATAAAGAACAAACTAAACCAGGGTGCTTTGACTTTGCTGCCTGAGAAATTCCTTGGCTTTCAAAAAAATCTGATTGCTGGTGGTGCTTGAGACTAATAATCTCCAAGATACTACTGCCACCCAAATCGTTATCAGAGCTTAAATTAATTGGTATATAATAGGCTGAAAACAGGAAAGGGTGCATTTCTATAGTTAAATAGCACAGGATCCTTATGAACAGGGATGAATTTTACCCTGGGGCAGAGAGATTACCCAGGGAAATAATACTGCTTTAGCTCTATTTTTGAAACCTTTTGAGGTTCTTGAATGGTGCAGTGGCTGTTAGCTCCCAGGAAGGATGAGCTTCTGCCTTTAGCCAGAACATTTCCATCCTTATCTCTGTATTTGTGTGAGCATTTTGCATGCTAACCCATTCACACACACAGAATTCAAGACAGATCAGCAAATCATTTTTTCCCCCCTTTTTCCCATGTTAATACTTGCAATGACTGCATGTTGCTGGAAAGGTAGCAGTAGATCAAAAGTTGGTATTTTCTCTGTTTACACCCTAGGCAAGAGAGCTTGGGCTGTCTGCAGCCGACTCGGGATAGCTCTGTGATCTGCAGATGGAAAAGGAGGGAATTCCTTTCTTCCTTCTGCAAGGGCGTTTGGCAAGAGGTGTCCACCCTCTAATAAGAAGCCCAGCAGGTAACTGAAGAAAGGGAAGCTTTAAAGGAAAATAAAGCGAACAAAGCTATGGAGCAGCTCAAATGCTAACACCACATTTCAAAGGTAATTGAGTGTAAGTGAGAGAGCGAGTGCAAAAATGTTGTCTGTTCATTTTCGTAAGCTCAGCAGCTCCACCCAAAGGACGCCTATCTGCAGGGTTTTGGGGTGATGGTAACAGAAACCTCTGGAGAAAGGCAAGCCATTCATTAAACGGCACTGAGTCAGCTGCATCTTGCATCGTAGAATCCCTGCTGGTGGAGACGGGTGCTCTTGCAGATCGCAGCATCCTTGGCCTCCCTTCTCCCCTTAGTACCTGGTCAGCCCAAGGACCCGATCCCGTGGGTACGGTTGTCCCATGAGCAGCAGCAGGAGCAGAGGCTGCAGGTGTCTGACCCTCTGTGCTCGCCTCCACATGCTCCAGAGCAGGGCTGCAGTTGCTCCTGCCTTCAGAGAAGCCAAGGGCATTAAAAGCAATTAAAAGCCCTGACTTAGTGTAATTAGAACCAACACTGGAGCTGCATTGGAGACTTTATCTCAAGTTTTCCAAAGCCCTCTCCCAGCAGGCTTGGGAGTTTATTTCCGCCCTTCGCTTTCTTTTCCCCTTCTTTTTCTCCCTCTTTTCACCCTGGGAGGTGTCTCCCAGCGACACCCCTTGGCAGGCTTTGATCTCAAGGATGCACAGGTTGTGCGTTTACCTTTAGAGTTGCAACATTTCCACGTAGCTGGCATGTCTCAGTATTTTCCATATTTATAGCTCTTAAACTCCTACAATGAGAGCCTTCTGCAGTTCTTTATCTGTGGTGCCTAACGAGGAGGGGTTGCCAGAATCGCCGTGCCCATCCCTCGGTGTATTATCTGACAGTTTTTCTATTGAATTAACTCAAGGTATGCATTGACTAAACATCTTCAGAACTGTTGGACAAACAGACTGTGTAATATTCATAAATTAATGCAAATCGGCTTCAAATATGTCAGACTCACTCCCCTAGGAATCCCTGGACCTCAGCATGTTGTGACAGTTCTTGTTTAAGCAAATCTGGATCTTTCAGTGCAAATAATGAGAGTGCTTTCATCCTAAGCGGTATTACCAGTGAGACTAATGTGCCATTCTCCTTCTTAAAAGTGTAGTCTCATCAGATATAAATTAAACCACTGGGAGAGCAGGAAAAGAAAATGTGAGTAGCATTTGCATGCATTGTCCCTCCTTTTCATCTGCTGCAAGAGCCGCATTGTGGCGCCTTTTTAATGACAATGCTGCTATTAGAGTAAATGATTAAATAGTCGCAATCTTTCACTTTCTGGGTTTTCAGACTTGGAGATTTTGTTCCACATGTAAATCATTTGCATGCGTTTGAGATATAATTGGTTATGTATTTCTTGAAAGCCTCATGCCACACACTTCCCATCTTGCAGGTCTCCTTCCATGGATAGTTCCACGTCCCTGGAAAGATTCAGAAGATGGTTGGTGCTGATGGCTGTCCAGAGGGAGCTTCTCAACATGCTTTCAGGTACATTTATGTGCTCTAAAGGCTCATGAAGCTTCACTGAGACTCGGCTTTCTATCCATGGGAGCAAATAAACCTTGGGAGCTTCTGCAGCCACTGGTGGCTGGGGTCTGCCTTCAATCCAGTGCTGCCGACCTCCAACCTGCCCTGCTTGGGCACAAGTCGTGTTGTGCTGCCAGCAGGGAGATGTTTGCTATTCCCGGCAGGGCTGTGAGAGTCCCTCATGTGATGGTTATTTACCACACTATATTATTTGTGCTGAAACATGTAAGCGTTACCACTCAGATATATTGCTGCCCCTAACACATCTTCCTAACGAAACGCGTTCAGCCCGTTCCAACATGGTAGATTTGCTTTCAGATAGGAGATGTCCACATTCCTTCCTTGAAGTTCGTCTCCTCCACATATCAAAAATGTTAACAAATAGGCATAATATATGCCCTGGGGAGCAGAGAAAGCTGCTTTTCTTTTTCTTGGCTGGCTTAATCCACTCTGGAATTATGTGACTTTTCATCTCTGCAGTTGGAGGAAAAGGCTAACTTGCAGTGTAAAAGTAGCATGATAAATTGTGGAAAAATAACTTGCTGGCTTTCCTAAGAAACTCCAGCTCCTCCTCTCACTGTACTCCTTCCAGCGCCCCAGAATTCATTGCATCAGTGCATGTTATGGCACCTTTGGGATGCGTTACTCATAAGAATGGAGCTACTGGTGCTTTGCAGGCGTATTTTAGCTTTGGCTCTCACATGAGTGCTCTGACACATCCGTGCTGTCTGCACGTCTGGGTAGCGTTTGCTTGCGGGTGTCTCCTGAGATTCCAGTCAGCTCAAAAAAGGAAACATCTAATTTATATTTGCTAAGGTATGCGTGAGGTCCTTTTGTTCCTCTTTGCTGGTGGTGAGGGCTTTGGGTGCAGGGTTAACGGGGTACGAAGGCAAGAGGGATGGCTTGAATGGGAATGTGGTGTTCACACTGTGGTGTTCACACTCCAGATCTCTCCTTTCTCTTCTGAACACTGCAGGGTGGCCAGAGGGAGTGGGGAGACTGCATTTGCTCGGACAGCCTTGCTTGCGTGACCTTGTCTGTTATTTTCTGCATTGTAACATGCTGGGAGAGTCTACATGTATGTTCCAGGCTGTGGCAGCTGCCCTGCTGCATGCCCTGGCCCCTTGGCACTGCCTGGCCCTCCTTGCGAGGCTCCTTCCCTGCGACCTGCAGGCACTGGGGGCTGAAAAACGCAACCCCAGGAGCATGCACTGGCATGGGGGAACCCGCGACCTGCCCAGCATCACATGCCCTTTGTGCAGCACAGCTGGGCTGCACTTGGTCTGAGCCTGAGTCTTCTTCCTTTGAATTCATTTGGATCTCAGACTTCATCTGTAATTGCCTATAATTAACCTCTCCTTGCAGGGCGCTCTGGAGATGGGAGCTGATAAGCGAGTGCTGCACATTGCTCTTGTTTTCCCCTGGAGGCAGCCCTGACGGGCTCTTTTGCTCTCAACTGGTGCAGTCTGGGCGAATTTCAGTGTTTCCAGGTTTATATGCAGAAAAGTGAGACTTAAACTCTAAGTTTGCACATAAGCTTAGCAGAATTCCCTGGTCACCCATAGGGGTTTAGCACCAGCCCTGGTTTGGAAGAGTTGTGCTTTTGGGGTCCAATCTCACGTAACCAGCACATGACGGTCAAATATCAAGGCTTATTATTAAGCAGTGTATTTTCCATCAGCAAGTACACCAAAGTCAGTAAGACTCAAAATACCAAAGTGTTTTAAACTAAAATACTAAGGTGTTATATGTATAGTAGGTCCTTTCATGCTCTGAGACGTTTGCCAAAGTTTGAACGTAAGCACAATGATTTTATGCAAAAGAAGGGACAGGCAAAGTCTGAAGTAAAACTCTTCTGGCCTGTCCACACAAACTGTTCTCAGCTTTAAGAAGCTAGAGCGCAGAGAGCAACCTTTTTAATTTTTCTCTCCCTTAAAATGAATAAGCAGATAGAGATCTGGTGCACAAGCTGGGGAACAAAAATACATTAAAACAGCAAAGTACTGTGGTTAGCAAAGGTTTTGCTAAATGAAATGCCATTTTTGTTTTTTACCCCTTAGGGAACAATAAGAAAACTTCTCTTTATACATATCTCTTTCTGAGACATGCTCCATGACTGGTCGCAACCTGTAATAAAAATGCCATATCCAAGAGAATATATTTAATATCGGGAAGGCAAAATAGAATGATATGATCTGTTTGGGGTTTGAAGGTAAATGTTTAGACATTTTTTCCTTTAAAATAATCTGTGATAGATGCTGGTTAGCTGACTGGGAAATGAAATCACGGAGGATTTATGCCATTAATGACAGGCTATGATGTCAAAGACATTTGGCCTGTGGCCATAACCTTTTGTGTGGCTCTGGTTGATTTTTATAAATAAACAGGACCGCTCAGCTGCTGCCTGGATAGGAGTCCCCATCACTTGGGAGCACTGAAAACTAGGCTAAGGAAAGCACTTAATAATACTGAGCACAAAATCAAGGGGAAGGGATGTCCTGCAAGAACTGCTTTCTCCCTTTACTTGCTCTGATTTTACAGAGCAGGTCTTGGTTAATATTTAAAGAAACTCCAGATTACTGAAATAACACCGAAACCAATCTTACTGTCTGAAAGCCCATTTATGATGTTGATTTACAATTAGTCAAAAGCCTGGACGCGTTGTCAATAGCATGCATCAGTGCTATTCTTGTCCCTTTTTGGTACAAAAAAAGCAGCCTGGATCGGCTTGTCCGGCTGTGCCAATGTGGCAGCGGAGCTGGTGTGGGACTGGGAGGCTGCTCACCCTGCCTGCAGGCAGCCAGACAGGTCTGATACCCAGACCCCCCCCCTTATGACAGAAAACTGCAAATCTGACTGCAAAGAGACAGGGAAGCCCTGAAGTAGATATAGCTTTCATATCTGTCCCCTTAAGGAGCTTACGGGCATAATTTTAATCATATTTTCCCACATAATACAGAGGATTTGCTTGCAGCCATTTCAGCCATTTGATACGTGGGAGGGCTTCATTATGTTGTTATTGGTGTCATTTTTCTTTTTCACATCGAGCTGTTTACCTTTTGTATTCTATCCTCCAGGAGCTGTGCTGCTAATGGTTCTCTAGGTGCCAGACCTCCGCTGGGTTAGGCAACACAGCTGCCTTGCGTTGGATTGAATATCACCACCTTCTAAGGATCCAGGTCCCTTTATTAAGATAATTAGCTGCCCTGTGTCACGGATTTCTGCATAAGCACATGAAGAGCTCCTTGTTCTTCTCTTTTACTGACAATTCTTTTACAGACAAATGATTTTCCTGTGGAAATCTTCATCTTTACCTTAAGTTTGAAATGAATAAGATACATTCATTTTGTTCAGCTGGCTAACCACACTATAAAAGTGACACCATCCTTACATAGGGTTATCTGTTTTGTCCATTAAAAGTATAGTTCCCCATAGTTCATTTATTTATTTTGGGTTAATTCTTTCTTTTCCAGAAGCAGTGTTTTGCACTGGAAATTGTGTCTTGTGGAGTCCTATCGTTAGCCTGCTGCCTTTACATTTTCCCAAACAGCACAGATGGAGTGAATTGGAACAGCATGGCGGTATTACTTGGTTGGTTGGGTCCTCCTACTATTACTACACAGAAAAAGAGCTTTAATTATGGAGCAAAAACTCCTTCTGTTAGAGTCCATGTACAGAAAGAAAAGGGTCCTTCTTCTGGTGGGACGATGCAGCACACAAGGCCAAGAAACCTTTCTGGAATATGGCTCCTGACAACTCAAAGAGCCCTGCAGAAACCCAGGCAGCATGCTACAGCAGCCTAAAAGACATCCCCGTTTACACCAGGGCTGTTTCACCGCGGAGAGCATCACCGCTGGCTGAGGATCGAGCTGTGGGTGCCCCTCCAGCAGCATCCCCACGGATAAGGGTCCATGCCCCACATGTGGCACCGGTCCTGTGGTCATGAAGGACGATGGCAGCAGTTGCCCCGTCCCCATTCCCGGGCACATCTCTGCAGCTCTGTAATGCCATCCAGATGTCGGCGCGGCTCCGCAGCCCGACGGCTGCATTTCACCATTAACATACTTGTTTTATGACAGAGCGGGATCATTACAATCGTCACATTATTCTGTTTCTTTTTTTCCCCTCTCCTATTAGTAGAGACACTGATTATTATTTTAATGGGGAGAAACAAGTTCCCCATGTCCTTTTCCAGTCCTAAAAATACAAGACTATTTTCCAGAGAAGCTTATGATTGTAGATTTAAATGTTCGACTCGAATACATTAAAGTGCCCTAGATTTTAAGGAGAAAAAGCGAGTCCTGATACTCAGAGGAAGGTAGGGCACTTAAGCTGACTTACAGCAGTGTAATTATTGGTATTGTCAGATCTTATAATCTACAAAATTATTCTTAGGCACACATTTCATTCACAAAAATGTTTCTAAAATAATTTCAGGACTTCACTCGAAGACTGTTTATTTTGGAAAAATATAAATCATTGTTCCCTTTAAAAACATTTCAGCTCAGAGAGCTGTAATATTTTATTTGTGTTGAAAGAAGGCAGGGTTTATTAAATATTAATATGTGGTTTACAGCACGGGTTAAAGTTCCCCTCTTAATATATGCTATAACTTTGCTCAAGAGACTTCATTCCTGAGGGAATATAAGTTTCTGCTTAAGGGACTTGAAGACAGAGAAACAATATAATCACAGTTTATAAAAATGCCAATATATAGTATGCTTTCTGCCCAAAATGTTGTGAATGTTCATGATAATTAATGGCATGAACTAATTAATGGCAGCATATAAATAAGACACCTGGCACAGTGCCTTGCTGAGCACAGGTCATGTACTCATGTCCCTGACCTGCTTCTACATCAGGAGCTTATTTTTGAGACCCTTGAAGCTGAGACAGGCACCGGCAGGTGTGCCAAGGCCAGGCCGTGACATTAAGGACTGGTCAGAGAAAAAGACACAGAAAATGCCAGGGGTAGGCACCAGGAGAGAAAGATTTAGTAAAAAGGGAAAATGCAGATCCTCAATCAGGGAAGACGAGGTGCAGAAGGGAGTTGTGCAGCCAGGTGAGTGGGAATTGTGCCTTTCAGTAGAAGCCTGTGGAAACTGAGTGTAAATCATGAAAAGGCAGTGGGATTTCAGCTTTTAAATCATGCAGGGACCTTTGGCAACTGTAACATGAAAGTCTTTGAATCCGCAGAGATGAGGGAAAAGCTTAAGGAGGAGATTTTTCAAAGGCTTGGTGGGGAGGTAGCTGTTTATTGAATATTTATCAAGACTTTTGATGGTACACAGACAACTTCCATGCTGGTTCAGTGGCCATCAGCCATCTCTGGGCATGGAGGGCATGTGACAGGGAATGCTGTGTTATTTCCACTTCTTTATACCACAGATTAGCATAAATAAATAAATCAATTAATTAATAGATCTCCTTGAAGATGTGATAACCCTAGTGGAACAATTCTGTAATATCTGCTAAAAGCTGTGTGTGATTCTGGATGGTGAACTTTCAGATGGGAACCTTTCACACGTGTTCAGTGTGTTGACTCTCATTTAAATTCTCATAAATCCATCCTTGAAGTTTTTGCTCCTTCAGATTTAAAAGGCAGAACTGCTTTTTTTTTTTTTTTTTTTTGCTTGGGGAGTCAAGACCTTTATAGTCTCAAAATGGCTTTTTTTTTCTTTCCTTAAAGAAAATATAATTGCATACAAACTGTAACCCCCTCTAAACAATTCTCATCGGTTCCCTGAAAGTGTCTTCTAGACTGAATTGTAAATCACCATGAAGTGCACCCCAAAAAAAAAAAAAAAAAAAAAAAAAACAGAAAAAGAAAAATAAAATCAGGGCATAAATGAGTTTTGGAGCTGTCTAGTCTGGGATCTGTAATTAAATCAAGGAGACTTTCTGATCTATAGAAGGGTCAGTGTAACAGGGCAGTGCTTTGAACCACGGTCTCATTAAGATACAATTGCCTTCTTCGCTTCCCAGATTGTTTATAACAGAGGGCTTATTCCTAAGCAGTCAATAACTGGAGAGCATAAATCACTGCACAGAAAGAGTTGTTCCTGGTTTATGGGCCAGATCCTCAGCTGGTATAAATCACTGTTGCCCCAATGATGTCACCTAACTCATGCTTTATTTATACAATCCAAAGATCTGTCTCATACTGTTCTCATTTTATTGGCTTTTATTGACTCATTCTGTAGGCACAGATTCTCATATATAAAATGAAGGTGGAGATAATTGAGGTATGTGAAAAGTAGTTTTGTAAAATTTTCAAGGGAATATCTGAATCATTCTCTTCCTTCCCCTTTCATTTTATTAAAAAAGAGTTACCATCTGAATTTCTGTCAACTCATAACCATTTCCCTAAATACCACCTTGGTCACTTTGCACTCGTTCTTTTGCAAAATGTTCCAGTGGTCTTTGCATGATGTAATGGAGCTGCTTCTAGGTGCTTCTGAATTCAGAAAGGATGTCCCCAGGCTGACCAGGGGACAGTCAGATTTACATCTGAATTTCCAGGTGTGTGAAGCACCGCCTTACAAACAGTGCTACGTGGGAGCCTTCAGATTGCCCCGTGCTTCATTTAGGGCTATAACAAAACAGAGAGGTGGATCTCCACAATCTCCTTCCAAGATGAAGATCACTTTTGGTCCCTTGGCCAAGCAATCTGGCAATATTCACCAGGCCTGCACAGCTCCTCTACCAAAGCAGTATTACCGGTTGTTAATTAAACTTACAAAAGCTCCTTTTCCTTTTTGTTCCGGTAGTTGCTATGAGCAAATCTGGCAGCATGAAGTCCTTTTTATATGTCCTGGTTGTATTTCATCACTCTGATGTCAGGACTGATGTCACTGGTGTCAATACGGTATTTATGAAGCTGCAGATCAATGTTAAATACTGGATTTGGGATCCATTGACAGAGTTAGAGCTCTGACTACATTTGACCTTCTTTAGCTGCCTGGGAGCCAGAGGGGATTTTCCATGTCATTCAGTTAAAGGAGTTTCCACTGCATGGCTTTCTCCTCTCACTGCATGGTATTGCAGTGAATACAGTCATTTGAAAAAAAAAAAAAAAAAAGAAAAAAAAAAAGATAATAAAAAGTCTCCAAGGAAATAGTAAAAATTTATGAAAGAAATCTCCAGAGAACAAAACATCAAACTGGCAGACACTGAACATTAGAAAACAGCCAAGGAATATTGTGAAAAATTGATGAGCAGAGCTGCAGATACTTGAAGACAATAAACAAGCAGAATCTACTTAATTAGGGAAGATTGCGATGTTATTTCTCTAGGTTAACTTTTATGTCCACCCAGAACTTTGGCACACAGATAATGACAGGCCCAGGCATTTGAGTTTGCTGCTGTTCCTTTTGCGAAACACAGAAATTACGTCCACCTTTTTCCCATGAAAAACTACCAGAATTTTATTCCAAGCTGTTTCACAAATCAAAGCTGTTGCTACAGCAAGGGTGAAATATTCACCGGCTCTGCTTACTGGCCTCCTCCTACCATCAAATTCATCACAGGGACTTGCTGGAGCTCTGCTTTCTGCCCAGAAAGCACTGGAAGGAGAGAAGATGAAGCTGTGAGGAGAAGCACAGGCACAGGATGCAATTTTGCCCAGGCTGTGGCTATTCCCTTCCTGCAGCCATGCAATGCATAGCTTCTTTCTTGATGGAGCTTTTCATTAGAAACATAACATATGTTTATGAACAAGAAATAGGAGTTATTTAAGGACCTTTATCTGGCAGGATATGAAGAAAACAGCAGAGGAGATGTGCTCTGCAGGAGCAGGGTGCTGGAGAAAGATGCAAACCTTCGCACTCCAGCTCTCCTCAGCCCAGAGGCTGTTTCTAGAGGCTGTTTCTGAAGTGTATACATTTTCCTTCTGACAGTTTAGATATACATGTGTAAATATATGTATATATAGGCTGGGTTCATGCTCACCACCTGCAAGTGCATTGCCTTCACTAATCCATCAGTCTTCCATCAGCTCTATTGGACTCTCTCAAGAGATCTGGAGGATTCAAACCCTCACAGGTGGCAGAATTTCTTCCTGAACTCGTGATGACACTTTCCCTTAACTTCCTCTGAGCCTGGAGATCTTTCTTATGCTCCTAATCTCCCTGAAACCATCATTTCTTATCCAAAGCTGCTTAAGCAGTTGGAGAGTAACGTTCATTTCCAGGCAATATGTGCACAAACTTGGATGAGGGCTGGTTAGCAAACGGAGCTGGCTGTAATCCGGAATAAAATTAAACCTTAATCACTGGGTTCGGGAGGATAGATTTGTCACTGCCCGGCCAACATGTATCTTAATAAACACATTCATTCCCGCGGAGCACAAATCCATTCATATCCACTGGCTTAAACGGATGTGCATCTGCGCGCGGGGACTGGGGATTTTGCCCCCTCTGAAGCAGTGCTTCGCCATGAAGAGAGGCTTACGTACGAGCACTGGCCCTTATGGCAGGGATGTGGCTGTGGCTGAGTTAAGCTCACATCTGCAGGCTGGGAAGGGCTGAATCCTGCCAGGGGCTCTGCCTGGGCACCATGTCAGTGAGGGGCATCTTCAGCCCCACCATGGAGAGGGGGTATCTGAGCTGCAGATGGATGAGGGGCTCCTTTCCGTGTCGCACTGGACCATGGCAGAGGTTAGAAATCAACCTAGGTCTCCTGAGCCACCGCCCTGTGCACTAACCACATTTTTCGTCCTCTCCATTTCTCAACTGCTAGTAATTACTCTTAGAAATGCTCTGGAAGCCAAAACAAACAAGCGAGATATTTCCAGTGAGCTTTCAGTTTGTTACTAATCCTTCAAAGACGGTTCTGTCCACAAGGCAATACAGCAAGTTATCATGTTGCTAAGCCCACTTCTCTGCTTTGCGTGTTTGTGGCATCGTTTCTCTCTGATGAACGAATTTGCGTATGAGCTGACATCTCCCTCTTTGGACTGGATGTTTTCTCTCTCACATGATGGGAAAAACAAATTCCATGCTGAATCAGAACCCAGCCGGCACAGCTAATATGACCTGGATTTGTTTCAGGGGACAGGGATTTTGGTCACCCAGGGCCTACCTCAGAACCAACTGGAAGTAATTTTGTGCATTTTTTTTTTCCCCGCTGTACTCCAAAGTACTACCTCATGAGCACTGCATCCTGGGATGACAGTAAATATCTGCAGTCACTGAATATGTGTTTTGCTTGTGTTATTTTTTTATGTTTTTTACTATTGCTTATCTCTATGTTTAAATAGAATCTGTTAAAAAAAAAAAAAAAAAAAAGGCCTTTACTGAATCTCTCTATACTACATTATATCTACATGGATGTGAATTCTCGCACCAACTCATCCTGCAATGACTCATTGGAATGTGCTTATCACAGGTGAATCTATGAAAGAAAGTCATCCTTATCGATCCTTTGCCTTCATCCTTGGAGCCTGCTCATGCATGACTTCATGGAGCTTCACAAGAGTTGACTGAAGACTGGGTGCAGTGTCCGTCTAATTAGCAATATTGTCTCATCTTGCATCGTATTTTATGATCTGCAGACATTATCTGGGTGATCTAATTCAAGGGAAAGTGATGGGAATATTTCAATTCTGTTATTGAATTTTCTTCTCAGGCTTTGTAATTAATTCCCAGTGCCTCAGGCAGGCTGTAGTAGCGGTGACAGATGAGCTGTGCTCCATCACAAACGTAAGCCAAAGCCCAAGCTGCCGTGCTAGAGTTGGCTTTCTATCCACCACGTACAGTGGCTTTGCCTCTGCTTCTGCTGCTTCTGATACAACCAGGGCAATGAAAAAGCAACACACAGAGAGATTTTCAACAAGGATTATTAAAACATAAAGAAATTCCAGTTCATAGTAGCGTGACACATCAGAAGAGACCTACTTATCTGTCCTTGCCCAGTCTTCAAGCCCTACAAATTTATAGGAAAAAAGCGTCTTGTATCAGCACCTCTGAAGTTGAACACTAAAGTGTGAAGACTAATTCACAACTTTCAGGGCAAGCACTAAAAAGTTCATTTGATGAGACTTCAACTTAAAAAAAAAAAAAGAGATTGTTTACAAGCTTTGGGCCAATGGTGCAGTTAGATGTGGTGGAATTTCTGAAAGTAAATGCTTGCTTTTAAGCCACTGAGTTCATTGAAATGAATGGTGTTTAGATGTAAAAGTCCTTTGGAAAATCTCAGGAGGTGACCAGTGCATTGTCAGTCTCTGCAGATAAAAACCTGGCCTGTGGGCTTTGATGCTCATCTGTTGAACAAACATGAGTGTATTCCCCTAACCCAAATGAATATTCTAAGTGCAGACCACATTGTGCAGTAAGAGGTTCATATAAACCTGGATTAGAGTCCAATAAACCTTCTAAGACAAAGTCTAAAGACAAGTTGATGCCCACATATCTGTGTGTCCATGTAGACCCCACCTACTGCACACGTTTTACACTAGAAATTATGACCTAGTGAAGCATGTAGGTAACTCAGACGCCAACGTGTACAAACACTGCTGGTCTGCCTCGCGCACTCTGCAGCAGGGTACACGCTGTCCGACCAAGCTGTTTTGGGTAGAAGGTAGAGCTGAACCTTGGCCAAGGCTTGAAGACACATAAATCAAGATTCCAGACTCCCTCTATGAAGTGCACCTAAGTTGGCAAATGGTGTTTTAATACTGGCCAGTTTCTAGTTTCTTCCAGATAGGTTGGGCATTGCTACTATAAAGCGAAAACCGACAGGCTCACATTTATTTTTAAAACCTTAACTAACCAGATGATGTTTTATCTGACTATAGGCCAGTCCAGCCCACATGAAGAAAAGGCTAGAGCACAGATCAAACGTTCCTTGGCCAACATGGCACTGCTATTAGGGGAGATTTCCAGCAACCTCTGTCACAAGTTGCAAGATATTTATCAGAAACAAATGGAGTTTGAAATTTCATGACATTTAATTTTTTAAGACAGTAATTGCCTATTTCCTTACCAAAATTAGAAACAGAAAATGTTTTAAAAAGTCCTCTCTCCAGCAACCTCTATTGTGATTCAGTTTATTTGCTTTGCAGCTAAGGCATCCACCCCCTTTATAGCAGAAGCCCCGTTCCCTCTTGTTCCTGATGAGCCCCATCCAAGCACAGGAGCGGGCATTGCCAGGAGGGGAGCACTGGTTCTCTCCTGCTGCCTGGAGGAGCGAGGTGAGCATGCTTTCAAGAGAATGACTAAGGCAGCTGCAAGATATAAGTTTCACTTTATCAGTCTCTTAAGGAGAAAACAACTTTACTTGCCATTAAAGTCCTGGAAGCTCCAATAGCTGTCCTTATAAATTAAAGGATGGAAATGGGCTTTCGGTAACATTTGTTCCAGTTCACCACTCAGAAGCTGAAGAACAGAACAGGAAGAGTAGCTGTTTCAAATACGTAGTCTTAATGCGGACACAGCCTTCCACAAAGTGACACGCAAAACCTTTTGGAGCTCCTGCAGATTTGGGTTGTGTCTGCGTCCACCACTTTGAGAGCAATAGGGTGAGAACACAAACATTTTGCAGGAGGGGATCACAGGAAAAAGGCAGATATTCTATGCAGTTTGATCATCTTGCTGGTGTTGCTTCCCTTGTCTTGGTGATGCATCCAACAAAGCTCCTGTCCATGGTAAATGCAGCTGAGTGGGTCAGAGAGAGCAGCACTTGGGATTTGTGCAGGTGCCTTGCTATGTGGCAGTGGTGAGATCCCTGTGGAGAACAGGCTGTTCCCTTCCCTCGTGCCTGCTGTGGTCATGGGGCTCTGTCTGGGTGATGACCACTGCTAATGATCATTACTGCTGGGGGCAGTCCAGATGCCTGCGACTCCCTCTGACTGCTTGAGGTCCCTTCAAAAAATCACAGCTGTGACTGCGTTTTTTTTTTTTAAGATCTGTCAGCTCAGCACTCACTGCCTGCATATGTGGTACAGGCACTTCAAACAGGTGAAGTTTTAATCAGCACAATTATCCTTTGAGGAATTAGTGGTAGTTGGCAAGCTTAATTTCAATTATATCTACCATCAACCCCCTTTTTTTTTGCCACACACTCCAGCTGTAAACACGTGTAAAATGTCTCAGTAACTCTCAGAAATGATTGTACCAAAGTTACGAGAAATTCCAGAGTCCCACATGAAATCGTGCCTGGAATAAAAAATAAAACTTCTGAGCAAAGCAAATGAATTATCAGTATTCTTACAAGGACTTCACAGAGCTCTCTGTGCTCCAGGGATCTCGCTGTACCTTCTGAGGTTTCAGAAGGATATGAAATTATATTGCCCCAAGCATGCATTGAATAACCTTCAAGTCCCTGCGGCATCAACGTGGGTAAACACTAGAAGACATAATTAATTGGTATAATGGCAGGACCTGCAGATCTGACTGATAGGGGTGGACAGACGAACACATCGTGAGCCTTGGTCTGAATGTGACCAGGTTTGCTGTCCAAAGCAGTTCTCGGAGGACTTCATTTCACAGAAAAGACCTTCTGGTACTGAAAATAGCCTGCTCTCAGCACCGCTGAGTTTTCCTCTACAGGTAATTCAATAGAATTTCTGAGGGGTGGTGGCTGAAACCAGAGGCTGTTTTAATGAGACATGGTGAAAATTAAACTAAGGCATTGGATGTGACTGTGTGGTTACTCCCATTTATCCCACAGCTGGACCATAAATATTCCAACCTGAACCCAGGATTTTCCCTTTAACATTACATGTTCTTTCTGTCTCTCACATCTCTGTTTTCTCTGGGTGGTGCGAGGGTTATGTTACACCTTGGGATGGGGAAGATGTCCTGTTGCAGTCAGCTGGTTGTGCTGTCTGTAGCGTAATTACAGCTCCACAGGGGTGGAGATGTTTTGGATTTACTCCACAGACACCGGGTAATTACTACCCCATAGATCCATGGTTCTTTAAGGATTTATAGGGCTAGCATGTGGTACACCCCATGGAAAACCAGAAGATCAGGGCATGATATAGCAGGTATGATACCGTATTTTAATTTCCATGGAAACCCTTGTGGGTAAACTGATGCAAGACGAAAGAGCATCAGCTAGCAATTGTGCCGTGTAAGTGATCAGTGTTCATGCTTGGGCTGAAGGTTTCTGCGTAGGGTCAGCTAGGATGAGATCATTAGTGCTCTTTGGGGAATGCCTCATCCTACCCACAGGAGTTCTGCGGTAAGAAAAAATGATCACTTGTTAAGTAAAAGTGCTAAAAGATTATTACCAATTGCCTGCTGACAAATCAGTGGAACATCTGAGCAGTCGTCTCTTGGTGCAACTCTATCAAGACCAGCAAAACCACAGTGGAGTTGGACTTAATTTGCCCCACTGCCTTTCAGTACTTTCTAAATTCTTCCCTCGCTCATTTTTCATTTTTTTTGCCATGACTTTCCAGCAGGCAGCAGAGACAAGGTACATGCTGAGTGATCATCCTGTCCGCTTTTCCACATCTGACGCTCAAAAAAAATAATAATATATGAGGAGAGGAAAGAACGGTTTGCAGTGAGTGATAACAGCTCTGCCTCGTGCTACCACGGGACACTGCTGATGTGAGGATGTTGGTGTAAATGCACGTGGGCTGCCTGATGGCATGCTGGGCAAGGCTGGTGGCAATGGATTATTTGAGGCAAAGGGATGGGACATGCAGAAAGCCCATGGCAGAGCAGGAACTGAGTGCAGGCAAAAGCTGTGTGAGCCTTTGTGCAGCTGTCTGGATCAGTCCTGGGGCTGCTGGGGTGTCATGGCATACCTGGGCTGAGTTTCAAGTCGACCTCAACTGATTTATGGGATGGATGGAGACCTATAAAACCTGCGGCAATTCTGCATGGGGGTTCGCTGTGGAGCTCAGCAAAACTGTGAAACTCCAGCTGAGCTTTGTCCTGATTTTTCTGACACTCGGATAAATGTAAACCAAAAGCCTCAACCCAAATACTGCCAAATTATGGGGAATGTGCCAAAATGGAGATTATTTTTAAATATCTTCCCCTGTTTTGTGGCTTATGGGATGGGCATAGGGATACTAAGCAATAAACAAAGGACTACAGAGACAGTGTTTTGTGAACTCTGAGCATGACCTTTTCCACGAGGTGAAGTTATTGTATAAGACTTTCCTGTCTGAATGGGAAGGGAATGGGCAGGACAACACAATAAACCATCTCTCAACAAATGCTGAGGACTCAATTACAAGAGTATGGCCTAATTTCAAGGTCCCAGCTACACTGAAACAGCTGCTGAGCCACAGCTTGGTGTAAGGAATCACAGGACTGGTCCTCCTTGG